GGGAATTTAACAAGGGTGTTCTGTCTGATAGAAAAACAAGCTAACCAAGCGGATATAAAGAGTAAAGGCAAAAGCTACATCACGCTTTGAATCAATAGAGGAAGCCCATGCAGAGTTAGTGAAGCTGATTGAGAGTGAGGAGGACTATGGTAAAGAACAGGAATGGATGACTCGCTGCCAAGATGAGTTCATGGTTGAAATGGCGAAACTTGAAGCGTTGTCAAGCGAAGAAACAGAATCAACAAGAGAATCGTCAGAAGAGCAAAATGGTGTCCTAGATACAGATAAGGAACAGAGACACCAGAGAAATGATAATGATTTATGTGCTAGTAATACTGTTAATAATCCCAATGTTGACAATACTATGATAGGGTTATTTAAGGCTCTTTCTTTACCACAGTCTCAGGTTAAACAATATGATGGCAATCCACTTTATTACCATGCATTTATTGCTCTTTTTAATAACACTGTTTCTTGTATTAATGATGATAATATTAAGCTTAACACTTTAATGTTTTTATGTTCTGGGAAAGCTTTAGAGTCCATTCAGTATTGTGTCCTAAAACCACCAAGTGAAGGCTTCCAATCTGCATGCAAGACGCTGAATGAAAGATTTGGGAACACAGCTGTGATCGTACAAGCCTTGATCAACAAGGTGCTGAGCCGTTCAAAGATTGATATGTCCAGACTTGTCGAATTCTCAGATGACCTAGAAAAACTTCTTTGATTCACTTTCAGCATTAGGGTATGTGCATGATCTTAATAATCAAAGTAGTCTGAAGCAGATTATAGAAAAACTCCCTAAATTCCTACAGAATAGATGGCAAAGTGAAAACTACAGAAATTTGTCAGAGCTGCAGCCAAGGAGATTAATGATCCAGTTTTTGGTAATTTTGATGGTCATTCAGCTGTACCGTTAAAGCCAAAGAGAAGACAACATGTAAATAATGTTCATCTGTCAAGCATTCCACTGCAAGATGTGCAAAGAGAAAGATTTCAAAAATGTTGTATCTGTAAATCAAACGAGCATTGGCCTGATCAATGTAAAAGGTTCTCTGATATGAAGGTGGAAGACATATGAACTGACCAAAAAAAGCCATGCATGCTTTTCTTGTCTAAAGAAAGCTGTAAGAAATCACCGTCTAAGCAATTGTTCCAGAAAACGGGTATGTGGTGAAAGCATTGAAGATGTATTATGTGATCGTTTCCACAATAAGCTGCTTCACTTAAAGAAAAATGTTGGCAATGTGGGTAATTTGTCTCTGAAGGGCAGTGATGAACCATTGCCCGATGTATTAGAAGTGGAAGTCGTAACAAAAAGAGATAGGCAGATGGCAAATGTTATGTTGGACTCAGGTTCACAAGGAACATTTGTGAGGAAAGACTTTGTTGACAGATTGAAGATAAAAAGAAAGAGTGTAGCTGCATCTATAACCAAGATGGGAGGTACAGAAGAAAGCTTCCAGTCAAAGATCTGTGACCTTAAACTGTGTGGAAAGCAGCCAGATATAGTCCACAACATTAAAGCTTTAGAAATTGAGACGATAAATCAAGTAAAGGAGGTTAACGTCAGAGAGCTTGAGAGATTATTCAAGATAAAGGAGAACAGCTTGGATAGACGGGGTGGTGAGATTGATATTCTAATTGGCGTTGACAATGCAGGCCTGATCACTGGTGAAACCATTGAGTCAGATGGATTAGTAGCAATGAGATCTCCTCTAGGATGGGTAGTCTTTGGGGGTAAAGCAAATGATCAGATGGCACATAGAGTTATGAATGTTAAAATAAGCAAACTTGTCAATTTAGAAGATTTTTGGTCAACTGAAGCGATGGGAGTTGAAGTAGGAAGCTGTGAATGTAAAGCAAAGTTAGATGTAGCAGAGGATATTGAAGCAAAATTGATAGAAGACCCCGCTTCCAAAGTTGGAGATCGATGGC